TTCTGTGACGTCATCCGTTACCATAGTAAAACGTAAACAAAAATAGGGAGTCTTGTGTGTTTACTTAAAAAATTGTTTGTTTATTTTGTAAACATCCCCCATTGTTCGCTATAGGTTTTCCATTGTTCAAATGACGTAACATAACAATAGAAAAAAATGGAATTCTTTTGTTACCTATAGTACGGATGTTACTACTTTTGAAGCCCAGGCTGGCCCTTGATTGCCATGGATAAGACAAGTTTTTATTTCAAGGTGTTATTGCATATTACATGTACCTGTGTCAATTGTTGGTTCACTTTTGTATTTCAGGCTCAGAAGCAAAGTGAAAAAGCACAATTTGATAGTTGTTTCTTATGACATTGTTAGAAATGACATAGAATTCTTTGGGTAAGTTTAGAAATCCTCTTTAAATAATGATTTTCTTTGTGCATTATGGTAAAATATTTGATATTGGCAAGATATAGATATTTGATTTGAATTTTCATCATTATTGTCACTTCAGTCAATACAGCACTCCCTGTAATAACATGATATCAAAATGAACTTTATTTTTTAAGTTTTGTATAGTTCAGTTTCAAGTAAATTATATATTATGTTTTTATCATATGAGCTAGAATTAGTATTGTTTTATAATTACAGGGCAATTAAGTGGAACTATTGTATATTGGATGAAGGACATATAATCAAGAATGGCAAAACCAAGGTGGGTAACTTTTTTATCCGAGAATTAAGAGAAATTGTAAAGCCTGCTACATTTTTGTGCTTGCCTGTCAGTATCTTTCAAAGCTTTTTAAAATTTCTTTACCTTTTCTGAAGACTGTAGGTGAAGATTTTTTACCCTTACACATAAACAGCTGGTTAAAGATATAATATTGTATAGATTATCTCTCTCCCCAGGTATACTTGTCTTTTCCTTCTTCAAAAAAGTGATCATATCTGTATTACATCAATACATTTTAAAAAGCATTCAGCATTCATGCCATAGATTGATTAACAATTGCTCCCCTTTCACATCAGTTGTTTTGTCTTCTTTGTTAATAATGCATTGAACATTAAAACTCCACTAAAATGTCCTGTTGTTTATTGCAGATCTCTAAGTCTGTGAAACAGTTGGTCTGTAACCATCGCCTGATCCTGTCTGGCACACCAATCCAGAACAATGTCTTGGAGCTGTGGTCTTTGTTTGATTTTTTGATGCCTGGTTTTCTTGGTACAGAGAAACAATTCACGGCCAAGTATGGCCGCCCCATACTGCAAAGCAGGGATGCCAAGAGTTCTTCAAAGGAGCAAGAAGCAGGTAATGATAAAAGACGTTCGAAATATTTTCATTTTGAATACCTAAAAGCAAGGAGGATGTTTGTTGTCATGTCATAAGTTTTGACTTCATTTGTACTCTTTATTTTTTTTCAAGCTGTTGTTTTCATCTTTCAGTTATTGGTATACTATGCTCAGTCTTAACAACAGGGGTTGGATAAACAATACTCATTAATAAACAATGCTGTTGAGAATATTCATAATGAAACTACTGCCATGTTTTACCCAGGTGCATTGGCTATGGAAGCCCTGCACAGACAGGTATTGCCCTTCCTGCTCAGAAGACTCAAAGAGGATGTTTTACAAGATCTTCCACCAAAAATCATTCAGGATTATTACTGTGATTTAAGTCCACTTCAGGTAAAATGTAACAACTTGTTGATGTTCTGTTGTGTATTTTTGTCTGCTGAAGAATATTATATACACCAATACTACTGCAGTCTATGGCATATGCCCTCATTTTGTAAAGAAGATATTTCCTTTATATATGTAACAGTCATGGAATTTTAATGACCCTGTTTAAGCCAAGTATGACATTTTCTGCAGAATGATATATTTATGGCTTAAAGCATTTTAGATGATATACTTCATGTCTTTATTTAGGTTCAGTTATATGAAGACTTTGCCAAGTCCCGAGCCAAGAAGAATGTAGAAAGTGACATAGAAGAAGGAGATGGAAAATCAAGCGCACACTCTCACATCTTCCAGGTATCATATGCTACACAGAGATTTGGTTGCAAAATCAGCATATTTTATGCTTGGAAGTTTTTGCATTGCTATATTAGCCTATTGTTGTAAAAAAAGTTACATATTTCAAAAGTATCTTAAAATAATGAGGTTTTACAACATTTTGCTTCCCTGCTTGATGTATATTCCATATATATATATATATGTGTGAATTATTTAACTCCCCAGGCTTTGCAATACCTTCGTAAAGTATGTAACCACCCTGCATTGGTCCTTACACCTCAACATCCAGAGTACAACAAAGTTATGGCACAACTGATGATGGAGAAGACCACTCTCAAAGATATACAGCATGCCGCAAAGCTCACTGCTTTAAGGTATATTAGTAACTTTTCACCAGTCTTTTTGTGTATTATGTAAATTTTCTTGGATATATTTAAAGAGTGAAAGCTGGGTGTGAAATGAAATCCGTTTGAATTGCTTTTAAAATGCAGTTAGAAAAATTGGAAAAAAACCCTTCCTTTTAAACCTTTGAGTATATTGTTTCTCATGTAGGTGGTTTCCAAAATTAAGATCATGTAATTTCTAGACTACTGCAGATCTGATTGTCTAGCTCTTATGGACAATAATTAGTCAATCTTTTCAGTGGTCAAAAATTATCAAACTTTCAGATACATTATTATATAATCACAAAATTATGTTTCTATTTTGCATTTGTGGTGCTTTTACTCCATAGAATAGAACTCCAGAGTAGCCTGCTTTTCAATTTTGTTGCTACCAATCAATAAGAAAGTTATAATTTTAAGAAATAATGGCTTAAAAATACAGTATCTGTTTGTTACATTCACAATTCCCCCCATTGAAAAGATCGAATAATTACGGTAACTTATCAGTTTTGTCAGCATGTATAAAATTCTTTTTCCCAGGCAATTGTTGACAGACTGTGGTATTGGCGTAGGGGCTGACTCCAATGCTTCTGATGCTCCAGTTGTCAACCAACACAGGGTCCTGGTGTTCTGCCAGCTCAAGAGTATGCTAGATATGGTGGAGAAGGATTTGCTCTTGTAAGAAACCTTCCCTATTTTTATCAGTCTTGTTTTTATGTACAGACACTGTTTATCAGGACATTTAGTGATCATCTGCATCTCTTGGTATCAGAGATGCCACCATAGTTGTCTTGCGTGACTTGGCTCTTGGCAAATTTAAACAATTTGTGGTTTTATTATCAACTTTGGAATGTGCTAGACTTCAGATTTCTCTTTTAACATGTAGGTCAGTGCTTTTAACATGATATTTGCTTTACTTTCTCTCAATTGGTTATTTACAGTAGTATAGCTGACATTTGTTAATGTATTTGATAGTTGGTTATAAGACATATAAATGTATTATGGAAAGATTGACCTAAATAGCACCACTAAGTGATCTCTTGTAACCATTGTTTTCTATGTTGATGATGATAATGATGTTGATGATCATGATGGTGTTAATTGTAACAACAGTGGTGATGATAATAAAAGTGTACGTGATCACTAATACTGCATTCAGCGTGAGTAATCATCATCATCATCATTATCAATTCCTTTTACACCGACTGGCACTAGGGCACCAACAAAGATCTTCAGTTAAAGCAATAATTCCACTTATTATCCTGCAGGGCCCACATGCCAAATGTGACCTACCTGCGCCTGGATGGGAGTGTGCCAGCAGGGAGTAGGCATGGGTTAGTGAACAGGTTCAACAACGACCCCTCCATAGACATTTTACTACTTACTACCCATGTTGGAGGACTTGGGCTAAACCTCACTGGGGCAGACACGGTCATCTTTGTGGAGCATGATTGGAACCCAATGAAAGATTTGCAGGTAAAGTTTAAAAAGTGTGCTTGATAGAATTTAAGTTTATTGTCAAGTCAGTTTAATTGTAGTGATAACTGATTACTTTTGGTTCCTAAGTACATAACAATGCAGTAATACTGTGTTTGAACTTATGGGTTTATGTACACAACCATCTTCCAGTTGATACATCAATTAATGATCAAATGCAGAATGGCAATGTTTCGAACTGGTGCGCTCTTGAATTTTTTAAAAATAAGTTCTGCCAAATTGTTGGTGAAAGATGTACGGGCGAGCACTCCTAATTATGAATAAATAACAATTGATTAATTTTGATTGCAGTAGAAGGCATGAAAAGTTCACATGGATAGCAATGCTACAAGTAGATTTTATCATGTAATACATGTCAATTAAATCTTTTCTTTAATTTTCTAAGTGTCCATTATGGTGCTTTTTCCTCTATTTATATATTTTATTATTAATTTTTAATGTAAAGGCCATGGATCGTGCACACAGGATAGGGCAGAAGAAAGTAGTAAATGTTTACAGATTGATAACAAGAGGAACTTTGGAAGAAAAAATAATGGGGTGAGTAATATAATAATGCTTAATATTTTTTGATAAATTACTTTATATTGTTTGTTCCTTTGGTTTGACATGCTTTTTAATATTAGTTTTATTAACATAGTTCTTAATAGTTAGTTTGAAAATCATTTTTGATTTGATCAGTCATAATTTCACTTTTAACTTGGACCGTGATTTTCCATCTGAAAGTTTCTTTAATGCATTATGTTTGTTTTTTCCCCAAAATTTTAGGCTTCAAAAGTTCAAGCTGACAATAGCCAATACTGTGATAAGTCAAGAAAACTCCAGTTTGGTTTCCATGGGAACAGATCAGCTCCTAGATCTGTTTACACTGGATGACAGTAAGAAAGGCACACCAAGTGAGGCTAAGCCAGAACATGGGAAAGAAAGCATGAAATCTATTCTGGAGAATATGGACGAGCTTTGGGATGAAAAACAATATGAAACAGAGTATGACTTGGGGAGTTTTATGCAGTCTCTAGCACAGTGAAATCGACTGCTTAACCATAATAAGTTGTTGACATTCTTCATTTGTATGAATAGTATTTTGCTCAGTAAATATGTTGTGATATGATCAGCAGTACTTAAGATCCTGTGTACGTTTTTGGCAAGTTTGTGATACAATTTATGATCAGTTTGTGTTTTTCATTCAATTTTAGAAGTTGTGTTTAAATTTCATTTGATAATTAGTTCTGAGTCAGAGCATCATGAAATGTTCACTGATATTCAAAAGGTTTGAACTGATAAAAACCATATACATTAAAAGTGTTGGATGCCAAAGCCGTTGCTCCGCTTGATGCAAATGACGTACATGATTTTTTTGTCACATTTGTTGACACATTTACCATGCTTGACTAATGACGGATTATATTCAGAAGCATTATCAAGTTGCTATCTAAAAAGTGAATGCACAATGCATACCAGTTACATTGGTTTGTTGACTAACATACCCATAGTTAATTTAACCAGTATTTTTATTGCTCTTTTGGTATTGCAAAAGGTTCAAGTGTACATTTGAATGCCATGAAAAAAATTCTGCTAATGGTAAATAAGAAGACTATTACATTATTCACTGTTATCGATTGACTTTGAAATAAATGATTGACTTGTTGGCATGCCTTTACCAATTTGATGTCTTGAAATAAAATGGAATTTTTGTGAGGTTGTCTCAACGTAAAGAATGAAGCCCAGTCAATGTGCTGATTTCGTTTTTATTTCAGGGGTAGGCCTGTATATGATAAGAAGGCGCAAAATATCAATACATATATATCCATCTTTTTTTTATTATGAACAAAAATTAACGATGTAATGATTGATTTTTAAAAGGATATCCCCCCCCCCCTTTCTACGTAATGGATTTTGCGTGAAATTTCAAAAAGTTTCGAAAATCTCTGCATGCCGTGGGCTGGTTGGTTTCCCCCATCTTCATCAACGTCCTCCTACTGTTCCGATACATTCGGTAGGGCAATGGCAGCGCGGTGTGTATTACGTAGTGTAAAACGGGACCATAAAACTATCTGCAACGTTGCCGTGACAACCGGTATCCAACATATTGTACTAAACATAGCCCCATACAAGTCCGTATACTTGTGCATTGATGCCATCTTGTCTAGTTTGAATTGTTCGTAACTATAGCTATTCAGATATCCAACTACCAGCATCGGTGCTATGGAGAAGGCTGGTTTGATGCCGACGGTAAGTGTTGCATAAATCATCGAAGAAAGAGGGCGTCTGGAACGAAGAATATATTCGATGACTAGTTTCCTCTCGTTCAATCATTTAGATAATTAAAACAGTTAAAAAAAGAATTTATCAATGAAAAGTAAGCTAAAGTTTAAATCCGCAAAAAAAAAAAACATATAATTTAATGGATTCTAGAAATAAAGAACTTATACTGGAGCAGATTTTTATAAAGTAAAAAGGTGAGACGACGCAGAGAAAGGCTCAGGCTGGCGAGAGATAACCTAAGAATCCATTCCGGACCTACCCACTATCAAATTATATCTTTGATACGAACACTATGCACCGTATTGAACGGATGCGATAGTGCGGATGATGAATTCTATTTAAAAAAAACCGAAACGGAAAGAAAGTAACATTACATGCCAATTTTTCTTCTTTGCGCATGCATTAGTAATAAAGACGATTACCAAAGACCGAAAAATCGCTTCATACTCGCTGATAAAGAGGTGAAAAATTGATTCGTTACCAATGACAATGTGAAAGGTATAGGGAACGATCTACGTTTAATCTCGATCTATACACCACTAAATCATCGGCTTTTTAGTTCCTTCAATAAATTGTAGTTAAACTGGTTTTCTAGCTCCTAATTTTTTTAATCTGTTCGACTTCCAAGTTTATTTCCACCTCAAGCCATCATGAAACTCAGCGTCGTCTCGAATTTCCTTTTTTTCGCACAAGTAGAGCGTTTTAAATAATATATTCTAAACGTGGCATATTCATATTATACTATGCTTTTCGGTCACAAATGTTGAAGAACAATCTCATGTCACATATCTGAAATAATTTTATTCTTCATTTCAGCAATGTATCCTTTTCATACGCAGTATTCTTATGCACACTACTTACTTTCTGTTGTTCGCTCTCATATCTGCATCTATGACATCAGACAGACAAACATTATACAGAGAATGACTCCCAAATGTTGCGATACTGAAAAACAAACCAATCGATCTCTTTCAGCAAAACTCGTAGATATAAATATTGTTATAAAGCATTAGTTTAAGTCCTCTTTCTACCCCCCCCCCTCCCCCCGACAATGACGGGAAAAAAGATTATCATATCCTTAAAGTTTATTCCGTCCATGTAAATATGCAAAAAATATAATGAAAAAGTAATGTGTTTCAAGAAAATGTTTCAGGTTCGTTTTAAATTACTCACTTGTCGAAAAGGATAAATCCCAGCAATATCCACGGTTTCTGTTTCCCAATGTAAAACATGGTCAATGATGTAATGATTTGGATGCAGAAAGTGTAACGTATTACGTAATATGTACCCAACCTCGCTATAAGTGGGGTCCCAAATATGACTAATACCTATGCAAAAGAAATGCAAAGTTCACTTTTAAAAAAAATCGTCCTTTAAAAAAAATACAGTTCTAACAAGAAATAGAAATGAGAGGTAAAAAGAATCCCTAAAATGACACTGAAGCCGTTTCTAATCGGTTGTAGTTGCAGTGGATGTTAACATACGTATATACACGTAAGTATGCTTGATAATATTAAAACTATGGTCCAAAATCAATCTTATATACTAATAGTAAGAAGAAGAAATTGTTCAAATTCTTTATCAAATCAAAATATAAATTTGAGCTTAGAGCTTACCTGTGGAAGAGACGAAGCCATGCCATAGAAAATACTTCGAAAATGTAGTGGTAGAGCATCTTCTGGGACTAGGGCCTCTGTTAAAATCGCAGTAAAATTTGCGAGATAAATTCGGTGAAATTCTTGCAAAAAATTAACAAATATAAATACGACTAAATTCTTCTGGGTAACGAGCTGCCAGATGAGAGAACAAATGGAGTCCTCTCTTTCTGTGTTGGTATGTTCGGTTTCCTTCGGTGTCTTTAAGTCGTAATGAGTATGGCAGTTTCTACCAGTGTAGTACATACAGAAAAAACCCACCGCAGCCAAGGCGATATTGAATTTTTGGAATCTGACAAAATTGTGGAGGTCTTCCGAAATTATGCTGGCAGCAAAGACACTGGTGGAACCAAGTAGTGAAGCCAACTGCGAATATCTCACTAGCCGTAGGCGACCTTCATGGCTTTTGAACATTTCGGTGAACAGACAACAATGCGCCAAGTGAACAAAGGTATAAACAGCATCATAGAAACACAGCGACACAATTAGATGTACAGAGCATAAAACGGAACCCGGTTTGTAAACTTCCCAGGGAAACCAAGGTATCAAAAATGAAATTGCCAGAAACGGAGCACCTAACAGAATGAAGTGACGTCGTTTCCTCAGACAAGCACTTCGGACATTGTCCTGGCAGTAGCCAAACAATGGGTCATTGAAAGCGTTCCAAAACATAAAGACAATCTGCGCCATTCGGAACCATTTCTCTGAAATCCTGTACATATTCAAGAACACTTTGACGTAGTAAAACATAAATACCCTGTTGATCATCGTCGTCCCCAAGGTAAGGGAGGCGTAAGCAAGAGTTGAGGCATAGATGTTCGATTCCATTCTTTAAACCCCGAACAACTCCTCTTTCAGTCTTTTCCAACTCATGAATCAGCATATGCTCATCAAAGGTTCCAGTACGGTCGCCTTCACATTAATATTGCTAAAATGCCTACAGCTGCTTCCATATAGACCCTACAGGTAAATGAAATATTTAATAAACCTATTCAGTTTTAATACCGACTGCGGGTTTCAAATATGCAAAGGAAGAAATTACATAGATGAAGAAATAAAATATTCTATTAAAAGAAGAGATGTTTCTCATTATTGTGGACAGATTTTCAGAAAATAAAATTTAAAGATTTGTACGCTGCTGTTTCCACCAATAAGAAATGAATAATAATTAACTTCTCATTCATATTGAAGTAAGCCTCTGGCAGTCTTAGAACAAAACTTCAGTTCTGATAATAAACTAAAGCCAACCTTAATTACCTCTACCCAAACTACTTCTCACCCACGAGTATCCAGGGTAAATCTGTTTCCTTCAAGGTTAATCCAGAAATTTAACTCTTTAAATTAATAAACTGTTTTGAAACATGCAAAGCGTCAAAATTCTAATTTTAAAAGGGGACGAGAAATCGAAGGGGGGGGGGAGATTGATTTTTCACTCGATATTCACAGTTGTCTCTGGCTAATTCATGACACGACTGGCGCTGGACATAATTAATCTGCGGTCCTGATAGACGGTACATCTAAGCCTTATTTTGCTTGCAATGAAAGAGGAAGAAAAACACTGAAACACGCTTTTTATCATTTGTGTAAGTTGAACTAAATACTATGTAAATCATATTAGATACAAAATGTATTTCTGTAACAGCAATATATCACAGCGTCTTTCTGTCCATTATTAAAATAAAATGACTTAACCTAAACGGTGCAATCGATTTAGATGCTACCCTTTTCCTCATATGAATTCGTTTTTGCCGGGCTTTGCTACACATATATTCTTCCTGTTTTGCGCACGACAGAGCTTGATCCGGTTGCACTAGCCTACACGGTTCTGACTGTTCTCAAATCTCATAGTCACGTGCATTGTCTATTTTTAACCTGCTATTCAACCAATCGTTGCTGCTATAGAGCAAATCCCCGGAGAAAAAGGTCACTTGGGTTGCAATCGTCATAGTGTCTCCGTATTTGACAGAGGTGTCCTGGGACGTGAGCCTTCTCAAGTTTTTTCAGGAATGAAGCCTGACAACATGGATGTAGTGGGGAAGACATTTAAGCAGAGAAAAAGTTTCGGTAAATACTTTGTAGGGCTAATGTTGTTTTTAAAGTTCTTTGTACGAAGTTGTAAAAAAGTAATGTGTTCCGTATGCCGATGCATCTGTCCTGAACAGCTGATCGCGGAGTTTGTTCCAAATCGGATGGGCTAGTGTCCCGAAGTTCTTACTTCGCTTCTAAATAGGTGGAATATAACGAAGAAATGAAATATAACAAATAACATATTTATTAACGATATTTACTTGAAACATAAAGTATTATATTTGACTGTTCGAGAGTGTTCAGCTGTCCGAACTGATACAAGTACCCCCATCGCGTGTTTTAACTCAGGCTTTTCTGTCTCAGGCCAGTAATTTTACGATTTGTAGAGATACAGGAAAAAGAGGTGTAGACTTAAGGAAGCATTTCATTTAGAATAATGAACTTTTCTCTGCGATATGGCTTAATAATGTTATGCGATCCCAAGCAAACTTTACATGATTGTACTAGTGTATATATATATACCAGTGTATATATGTACAGTAGTATGCATTTTCACAGAAATTTTGATCAGTGAATAAACTTAATAAGTTTGTGTTTGTGATCTGCTGCCCATAAAGGCATATAATGATTTATGAACTTATTTCAGCAACACGGAAAGAAGAGGTAGCAGGTATAAGAGCCAAGTTTCCTTCAAAAGTCCCAGTAAGTAGCAATTAAGACTTCAAATTCTGAGTCAGTAGTTTATTTAGCTCAGAGATCCTCATTCTGATGTTGGTCAGTTCATGATAACATGGGATAAAATCAAATCAGTGGGAGCTTTTTTGCCATGTTGTCCATATATCAGCTAATATATCCACAAGGGATCAAGGATTTTACCAAATTTCTTGGGGTGGAGAAGAAAATAGATTATAGTACTTCTGCTCAGAAAAAAATGGAAAAGTATCCAGGGGTTGGGTGGGATTGAAGAATTGCCCAATTTCTTCATTTGGACATCGGAATTTATTATAATTCATTACTTAAATGAAATAATTAACAGTTTGCCAATCTGGGATTAGGACTGGAACTTTCCATCAAGATCTTAAAATAAAGAAGAAGTAAATGTTAAATCATTCTGTTGATGGCAGTTGAATATAACTAATAAAGATTCAAATAGCTAGTAATGTAACCAATAACTATTACTTTTTCAAATTGTCTTACTTTATTTCAGGTAATAGTAGAGAGATACCACAAGGAACGTTCTTTGCCTATTTTAGACAAGACCAAATTTTTGGTTCCACAAGAACTTACAATGTCACAATTTGTCACAATCATCAGGTAATTAATGTAACTTTTGAATGTATAATCCTCAGGCTGGTGTATCTGTTAAATTGTGTAGCACATGAATATATCTATGATATTAGAAACTGAAGCAGTCAGGGTTTTCAGCTCTTTCATTGATTGATATATTTAAACTTTTTTTGGTTTCTATAATTGTTAAAAAGATGATTAAAAAATACAATATAGGTGATCAAGCATTTTCCAAAAAAAAAAAAATTCCTTTTGGTAACATTGAACCATGTAATAGGGCTTCCTCTTTATTGAAAGGACAAAGGCAACATGGTCCAAAGTCCAAATAGTTATATACAGTAGGGGTAAAAAGGTACTTGTTACATGGTAGCACTAGGTGCCAATTTAAATCGACAATATTGTAGGAGTGGTAGAGGAAAAAGCAACTCTTTGTACTTGACTCAATTGACGCATGTTGTGTAACACATTACAGGGACCCCAGAGACTCCGATTTTTTATGCCAGACAGTATTTTGAAGTTGACAGCTTAAAGTGTATAATATTGTATTGTGCACAATGTACTAGACCTTGACCTAGATACAAATGGGTATTTGTAGTGACTTTGTTGGAAGTCACAATATCCATGCACCCATCCTTATGTTGATGTACTAGAGTATGGAAAAGTCTGTGGCCTTGTTCCGAATCTATTATGTCTCTGGGGGCAATTAAGGTGACTCATCTAGGGTTCCTGTGTCCTCACTTAACCCCAAAAAGCAGACGATGTACATAGAACTTGACAAAGGAACCAGAATGAAGTGATTTATCAGACTTTACCTTTAAGGTGGTTGCCTTGTCTGATGGGTTAATTTTGAGTAAGGACACATCATGGGTGTTTTGTTTGGCAAATCCAGGGAACAAGAGGAGGCATGTGCCAATTCCCCCCTTTGCTACGGGGGTGCCCCTTTTTCTTTAGCTTAAAAAAGAAAGAAAAAGCAGGCAATAACCAAGCAAACTTTTCAACTTGTGCGCTTCATGTTACAGTAAAATTGTTTTTGTCTACCATAATGAAGTGAGACAATTACTTTTATCCTTGTACCCTCCCCCCCCCCGCCACACACACACACACACACACACACACACACACACACGCCGTAGCAAAATGCTTTTCATATGCCAATGATTTTATAAGAAAATTAAATGTGTGCTTTAAATTGATAAAATACACATCCAGGTTTGATGGAGAAAATTTCGGGGGGCCATTGGAGAATTCCCTTATCTATATCATACACTTCATTGGTTCCATTTTTTTAGCAGTTATGATTATCGATCAATTACCCCACAGAAGTTGTTGGCAAGAACTAAAACTTATGCTGTTGTATTTTTTAAACAGAATAATTAATTCTTTTCAAATTTAGCAAGTATTTATTGTAACCTTTGTTCTTTTTTATGTCTGTCTCCCCTCTCCCCACCACCACCACCACCACCACCAAAAAAGGTCATAAATATGCTTACGTCATACTGATAATATTGATAAAACCTATAAACCTACAGGTCAAGGCCCTAACTGTAATCCCTATCTGTAGTGTTAAAACACAATGTTCTCTCATCAGCAGACTTTGTTCGTGAACATGGACAGTTCTGACATGTGAATTATATTAAACAGTGTTTATGTATGCTTTGTTAAACCCACTGAGTACACAGAAATTGAGGGGTATATTTATCCTTTTGTGTGTGATGGGCAGTATGAACTGAATTGTCCATGGACATGGTGTATCTCAATTTTCGGGTGGTCCTATCTTCTTTCTTCACATGTTTTCTTCAACACGTGTCTTAGATGGACGTGATGTCCTTGTATACTTAAAATAAGTACAACTTGGACATTTCATGTAAACAATCCCAGGAGCACTTATGTGCTCAGGTAGTAAACTTGTTTTGTAGTTTACTTGCGTACATCTGTTTACTTAAATGAGTGTGTTTATGACTATGGCTGTTGACTAAAATAGAATTTAGTGTTAGTAACCAAAATTTTTTATAGGCTCCGTCAGTTTTCAGGGTACTGTTTTAGTGTCAGAATAGAAAAATATTAACCATATATCTACACACACCACAAAACAATTTGTGACTTTTCTCACTAAATTAGCCATAAAGCCACCTATGCCAGCTTATTTGTAGATTGACTTTAATTCTGAGGAGATTGCCTGTCCCAAATATCAATTTCCGTTGAATGCCAGTATTGTGTTAATGTGTAGATAAGAAAGGTTTTCATTTAGAAACGGTTTCAAAAACAACTTTGTGTGCTACGCTGATCATGACCTTTGCACCGGTGAAACTTTTCCCTTTCACTAAGGGTGGATGAAAAATATCTAGCTTATATGAAAGCATATTTTAACTTGTCACTTTTTGTCCCTTTTTCTAAAAATTTATTCAACTTGGCATTGCACATGTTTATTAGTGCATGTGTACTTTATAGAGTACATAGATCAAGGTAAAAGCAGTTATGTGCAACCTGCCTAGAATCAGCCCACTTTTCTTGTTAATCAGTAACTTTTCAAAGATAAGGACAGATGTACTGTTAAATACCTTGACAAATATGAGTGGTTGATTTGCTTATCGTTCAAATGGACCATGTTCTTTCAGGATATATATTTAAAACTTCAATTTTGCCAGGACAGGACCTTAAAAGAAATTTCAAAATTTCATAACTGGTTAGTTTGTTATCTCCCAAGAACACAACAACAGATTTCTCAATTGGGACTACATTAAAATGCAAACAGTTCTTGGTTTTAAGTGTGTTTTAAAGAGCTTGATATTTAAAATTTTTAGTTTAGTTAACTCACAAATGCACTGTTTTAGCATTTGCCCATAATTAATATGTTAATTTTGATTATTAATTTCCTTTCAGGAACAGGCTTTCCCTCACTCCAAACCAAGCATTTTATCTCATAGTAAACAACAAAAGCATTGCCAGTATGTCTACAACGTTAGCAGAGGTTTACAGGGACGACAAAGATGAAGATGGATTTTTGTACATGACATATGCATCACAAGAAATGTTTGGGAGTTGCTGAGCAGAGATTGTGTTATTTTAGTCAAACATATTGACAGATTTGACAGTAAGAATATTATGACTGACAGTCTGTTGCAAGTGTGTAGCAGTGTTAATGGCATGCTCTGTAAGGCCTTGCTTATTTTATTGAGATTCTGATGCTACATTTGCCTAAAATAAGAGATGGCCTTGCCTGTACAAATTTTCCCTGTGATTTGTATATTTATCGTCTGATGATGAAAGGGACCAGTCTGATGAATGATCTGAGTTTACATATGTAACAGTAATTATGCTTTGTACAGTGACTTTTTCTTAGAGTAATCCAATAAGTATGTTAAACACAAATATTCTTCCTGGGTCATTTTTTAGATTGATTGGAAGAAGTTCCCAGTGTGCTATGAGGAGTCACAATTACTCAAAGTTTTGCAATGATAATGTCCCCATATTGAGCCCAATGAGTAGCTCACTGTATACCATATCATAGACCACAGCAGTATTAGTATTAGTTACAAAAACCCTTGGAAGGGAAAAATAAAATGTCTGTTGTAATTGGGAAGTTATCTTCACCAGGTATGAAATCAAAAAATGCTTGTGATAGATATTAACACATTTGTGCCTTGGAATGAAATTGAATTAGCGTTGTCCAGGAAATGAACTACTTGTTGATAAATGCACCGTACAGCTGCCCCTTTTTGACTGCTGTAAACTTTTGTACACAAAGGCTCATGTTATAATTAATGCTGTGGAAGATGGGTGCTAAAATTAAGAAGCGAGTATATCTGGATTCCAGGTTGAACTTGATGTGAGCTTTTATTTAGCTGTGTGAAGAATTGGTCTACCTAAATGTAATGTAAGATATAAGAAAAAAATTAGATTTTGATTGTAGTTGGAAGTTTTGTAACATAATTTGGAAATGACTGCATATTTAGAAGTCATGCCAGTTTTCTGATCCATATAAATAACTTTACAGTGACATTGCACACTGCTGCTCATTTTAAAACAAGCTACTAGTGCTGGACTGTAGCTGAAGTTGAAGAACAAATTTGTCGAACAAACAGAATATCAAAGTGGCTTTTATCATTAAACTTTGTCATATACATGACACTTACTGCTGCTTTTATAATGAAAACCTTTTCAGAAAATAGTTTTTTTTCTAATTGAATTAAACAGCATCATTTGATTCCAGGCAGAAAAAAAAGTGCAATACTAGCTTCCACATTCTATAAATCATCCTTTCTTGAATCTTATTTAAATTTATTATTTCCTTTATCCAAATATTTTGCTTTTCATTGTATTAAATAGTTATCATTATCCAGAAATAAATAAAACTCTATTCTTGTACATCGTTTTTAAATTTATTTTTGAAAATGTTATGCAGTATGTACGACAAAGAATACAGCTCTGAAAAATTTGAATGGTCTCTGGGTGTCCCTTTTCACATGCCATCTTTGAACTTAATTAAAGCTTTTTGTGATGTTTTGACAGGGTTCTAGTTTAAATCTTGTATAAAATATGTGAAGACGCCTCTTCAATAACTGAGATGTACTGTCAATGATTGAATTGATGTGAAATTAAGCTTCTTTATCAGCACAGTTCACAGAGTACTAGCCTGATGAATTGGATCTTCTATGTGCAATGTCTAAACAATCATTTCTAATTCTCTGGCATATTCAATAGTCTGTTGTACTAGATTTAGAGCAGGTATGTCTTCATCTCCTTTCTTTTCTTCTTTTTGGAAATAAAAGTAGTTCTCTGAACCAACCACCCAACCTCTCTGAAAAAGAGAAGTTAAAACAATTAGTATCACACTTTTCAGTATTAGAAGAGAATATTGAAAGTCCAAGTAACTTCACCGAATCTTCTATACAACTTTTAATATAATGTCAAGTATCTCTAAACTTTCAAATGTGAAATGAGAAGTGAATTGGAAACAAGTTTTCTTACCTCTGAAGCATACTGCTTCATAGGTCTCTGGGAATCGAAAAACAGCATTCTGGCTGCCTCACTAAATGCTATCTTGTCATAAGCTTTCTCCATACAGCTGGCTATTTCACCCCTAATAATATATCATGAAATATGTACAATTATATTTTGCATAACCATGTCAACTTCTTTCTGAGACGACAGTTATTCTTTCACTTGAGTTGGCAAGAATTTGGTACATCTCGCTCGATAGCATTGTGTGAGATACTAGTGTACTTTAAAGTTAACAAACAAAATGCCCAACACTGTTGCACATTGCTTTCTTATGTCCTCTTTTGCATTTTGTCTAACTTAAGTAAAATTTTTTGAAATGTTAAGAGACATTCTATGTGTCAAGCTTATGGGCTGGTCAAATCGAAAGTAAGGGAAAGTTCATAAGTATGATTACCTGATAGTGTTCAATAAGATGTCCATGAAATAATTGTAACTCTCTGCTGGAACATTCCCCTTTGCAAGAAAAATCTGGAAAATAAACATTCACTAGTGAAAATATACAATATACAACAGACAGCAGATACTTTAAAAACAAATGCTAGCTTACATTTAAAAATTCAGTTTAAAAAAAAGTCACTTATTTCCTCTGTAGTTTGCCTTTCCAACGTGTACAATTTAGTTAAAAACAATTGGTCAATGGTGACAGTGTGTTGGTGCAAACAAATTGGAATTTTTTCCTCTAGCTAATTTTAACATGATGATCCCCTTATTCAACAATGATTAGGAAAGGGGATGAAGGAACTAACATCTCACTAACCTTGTTATAACTTCCCTCCATTAAATACTGTTCCATTGAAATGGGATGCTTGATGTATATATTTGTTTGTAGATCTTTCACAGGCAGTAACTCCAACTCCTGCATAATATGAAACAGATATAGTAATTACATAGTGCTTTAAATCTTTTCTACTGTATATATATGTTCTTTTTTTTTCATCACAAAGAGTTATACAATAGATTGGCATAAATTATGTAATATATCAGAAAACCATCAGTCAGTTTCCAACAAAAAATGTGACGAAAAAAAATTTTTGATTTACAAAATTGCTTTTAATCTCCTACATTCTCAATGGTTAATGTTGTGATGATAATTCTTTATAATTCTTAATCCATATATATATATATATATATATATATATATAAAATACTTACTGTGTGGAATTCTGCGAGTCTGTTTTGTGACAGCAAACAAAGGAGATTCAGGCCCAAGAGCTGGTACTTGTATGCTGAGTCGGGGAGATCATTTCTACATATATTAAAAATATATATATATATATTAATTCTCACTTTCTTCATAAATAATATCACATCATTTTACAGGTTCAAAAAATGCAAACCAATGATAACAATTTAATTCAAATGAAGTTTGGTGTAGAACAGTTTTATCAGCTTTGTTATTGTAAAGAATCTTGTAAAGAACCTTCACAAGTCTAAATGAAGTTTGGATATTCAATACTTGTAATAAACAAATTACATTGACATGAGACTTTTCTCTACAACCAAGGACTTCCTCTTAAACTAAGACTAATGAATTTCTTCCACTTACTTGTAATCTAAGTAGTAACACTTCAGCTGGGCCATGTATCTTTCAAATGTTGGAATATCGCGTTTAGCTATTGCCCATTGAGCTCCAATTTCAAGAATGTCTCCTACAAATCAAAACATGTCATCACATATTTAAAAATGCAGGATTGCCTGTTAAACCACATCTTAAAGAAAATGTCTGTGAGCTGGGGTTTCCCCAAGGATTGGGGTACAAAAAGTCCCAATGTTAATCTGTGATTTGGTCACTGATTTACAGGGAATCTGGCAAGGAATGCAATCCAAGCAAGTCCCCAAAAAATGCCACGAGAAAGAGGGTTTTTCAATTAAAAGATATTATGTTATAAAGTGCTTTACAAAAATTGTGTATTGTCAATCACCCACTTACTTGCAACAAGAAGCTCCTGTTTTGTTGCTGCTGTATCTTGTGTAGGCAAGAACATAAGCCCCGTCAATGCAACCTAAAATTAATATGAAAAATCTTATTTCCCACTGCTGAGCTACCAAGTTTACTTTCAGCAGTTGGATTGTGATGGGCTCTATAGTTCGTGCTAACCAACGACGGTGCCAGTTTGAATAAGACCTAGAGCATAGACTAGAGAAATCAGTCAACTATTATCCGCAGATAAACATAGGTGAGATGAAATTGAATAATCAAAGGGTTGATGCGTAACCAAGAACTATGAAATGATATCCAGTTCTCCAATGTATCAATAAACGGTGATACCTAAATAATGTTATTATGATTCAGCATATATCAACATCATTTCCCTCGTCACCAAAGAACAATTTTTACTTGACGGTTTTCATAGACAAAACTCAAACATTAATATTTGTAATTCGACAACTTATTTCCCAAGTATCACTCACCTTTAATTTACCAAGAAGAGTGCCACATTTGTCTAAATCCGATGGCTTTTTGTTCCATTCTTGGGTTAACTGTTGATAAGTCGACACAACTTCTTTCAGAGCTGCCATCTTTGTTATAAGAGAATAAAGAGTGGTCTGTCATACATCGCGATTGTATTGCTTTCCATTACTAAACAATTTACTCGTCATAAAATTTTTATTTCAAAACAATGTTCAAATTTAATAGTATTATATATTTATATAGCCTATATGTTTATTTCCAAAAATAAATTCAAAGAGGACTTACATCACCCATTCTCTGTTTTAGAAGAAAATATTTGTAGAACTTCCGGTGGACCGGCACGTTTGACGTTGCCTGAGTTGTTCCACACATCTGAAATGGAAAACGACGTGTTGGACTCTTTGGATGACTTGGGGTAAGCATATATATAATGCACATTGCATGACTCTTTACAACATACGATTTCTTTTATACAGCTGTTGTTGTCATTGCAGAAAATAGCTATATCGTACACAGACAGTGATTTTGACTTTCATGATTCACTAGTAGTAGTATTGTTCACACGTTTTTTTATTCTGATAAGACAGAGAGTTGAAACTTAACACACAGATATCAGCAATATTAGCAAAACAAAATGATACAATGTATCTTGAAAAGCGTATGCAGTAGACCCTGACCTCCTAAATTTTGTGGCGGGCGGGANAATAGCTTTTTCATAGGGGAGTCATTGGGTGGTAGAATACTAATCTTTCATAAATTCTTATTCTTATCCAATATATTCTTCCTAAAGTACCCTAAAAGAAAATATGTTGAAAAAATGTCAAATAAATACTTTTTCATAGGGGGAGTCCTTGTGTGGTAAAATACAAATCTTTAATTTTTTTATATTTTTCATGAAAATTAAAACAAAAATTTAAGTGCCAATGTGTCCTCCATTATGCATACTACAAGATCATAGTCATTTACTCAAATAAAATAAATTTATGAATGTTTTGTGTGTGTGTGGGGGGGGGGGGGGGGGCAAAAAACCATTTCCCCAACAAACATTTGCCTTAGTTTTCGTGCTACACGAGCAAGGCCTCATGATATTGGCTTAATGGGCAACACCCTGTGTTAGAAACTCCCGTAACTATATGGAGTGGCTTGCGTGAGTGCTAACACTACTGCATAACTGGAATAAAAATAAGTAAAACATTATGAAACTGGTTCGTGAACTTTGTTGACGTTATTTGTGAATGATATGCCTCAAAATGGGAGGTAGGACACACAGTTACACTGAACACTGAAACAGTCAAGAAATATAAGTACTTTTTTTCTGGAAACAAACAAATACTAAATGAGTAGTTCATCTCAAACAAATTGGTAAAATTTCCCCATATTTTTTTTTTAAGTTTGTGAAATGTTCATTTTTTAGTACAATAAATCTTTCTGTACTAAATTGTTCTTTCAAGAATGTTTAGCAGGAATAGAAACCACATATTTCTTTTTAAACTTTTAGAATGTAAAACAACGTACATAGAATGATAAAACTAATTGGACTGAATGAGCTTTGTAGATCGCTGAAAAGGATACTTTTCTTATTAAAGATAATATCATTACTCATTCTGTTGAAAATATAAGATTTTGATAATGTTTTCATGTTTAACTTTAATCAATTTCACACATTATTTTAGTTACGAGGGTCCTCTGTTAGATGAAAATGGGCTTAGACAGGCTATAGAGGGTGGCCCACAGTCAGCAGAATACACCCAACTTGTAGAATGGCTGACCAAGGAAATTGGTGGATTTTGCAAACTTGATGAAATGGTTAATGCTATCAAAGGTACAGCTTGTGTAATAGAAATTAATGTAGTGATGTAACCAATATCCAGTGTAAATATGATATGCTCATAGGAAACAAAAAAAGCCTCGTCAGATGGAGGGAAGTGTTAGACGAGTACTTAAAAAAAAATGGAAGCCCTAAGCCCAAGACCAAATATACTGGATGAAGTATGCTGAGGCCTTTGTCCACCAGTGGAACACGTTAGGCTTTGAATGATGATGATGATGTTGATGATTATGATAACTAACATCATGTTCTCAAGACTGATTTTTTGTTATTTATGTAAGTGTCGGTTTGTTGACATTGCATGCACTATTATAATTATACTAATGCTAACAAAAGATTTGAATCTGGTAGGTGTAATGTACAATTTTTGGAAAATTTTTTAAAACCTTTCTTTATTCTTCATGAATATGCATACTGTAACTAATTGGCAATGTTTCTTCTGAAGGTCAGGATGATGTTGAACACTTTATGCTGGAGCTCAGTGGGTTTTTAAGGGAGTATGGTGGGTATACTTCTGCTTTTACAAACAAAAAACAGTATTCTAGCTAAATGTTAAAAATTAGTGACATTTTGACGAAATATTCTCATAGTTTGAGAACATATTTGAATAAAGGAGGTAAGAAAAAAGATGTCATTCATTTTATTTAAAAGTGAAAATTCTTTATATTTGATAGGTATTTTTAAAATTAGAGTAAGAATAACTGCATGTATTCATGTAGTTGATTCCTTTTTATTTCATTTCCAGGTTGTCCACACAAGGGATTATCAGAAGGGCCTTTAAGTCAAAGGCTTGCAACTAAAGAAAACCGACTATTATTGCTAGGTAAAAGGAGAACCATTTCTGAGTTGAAAGACAATACTGCCCAGCAAATTTAATAGAGGCATTTCATGGTATCTGTGTCCTGGACATATAATCTTCAAAAGTATAAAAACCAACTAAAAGTTCTATCTCAAAAAAAAAAAAAAAAAAAAAGGGTTAAGGGGTTAGTGATTTTCACAATTTGATCATATTTTAAAAAAATTCTCAATTGAGCATTTTCTCAATTAAGACATGAAGTACTATTTAGGTTTTTTTGCTTTGCTTATTGTGTCACTTTGCTTAAATGCAAATACAATAAATAGATAACAGTTCATTATACCTTTTTCTCAGATTTTCTCTGCACAGAACTCCAAGCAGTCAGGATGATTGCAGTAAACAAGCCTAGCTTGCTGTCTTCCTCTAATTCCACCTCTCCAATGGAAGTTGAAAATGAGGTACATATATTGGCACCATTTGCATTCAATTTCTAAATTGCATTTTCTTTGTGACAGCTCCCAGTAGTGATTTTGAAGGGGTATTGTCTTTCCCTATACCCAAATCCAATCTTTTTGTGATCAAATGTCTCTTATGTCATCACCACTTTAGTGGGTATAGGCTTACAGGGTTCTCCACCAGTCAAAATTAAGCCTTACATTTGGAGACAAACTTAAGTTATTTATGAGGTCAGTGCACATTCACAGATGTTTGTAACTATAGAATAACTTCAGTTATTACCTTTGTTAAATGACCACATATTTGCCAGTGTTACTGTCTAGTCCATTTGCACGATCAATATCTTCAAATGAATAAGTGTTTCTATATATTCTATGTTATATCAAGGCTGAAAGTGACAGTGCCTGCCATCTGAAGAGTATGTTAATTGCCCTAGGATTTCCAAGGCCACCTCCTAATATAACACCATTCCAGCTTTTCAGCAAAGTGGAACAGAAGGTATGAAAACTGCGTAACAAAGTCCATCCTAAATATTGGAAAAAACTAAAATATCAATTTTAACTGTACTTTCTGTGCAATTTTGGAATATTGAAGGTTTACTGCAGTAATTGCTAACAGCTACAGTTGAATATAATAAGATATTTGTACCCGGTATGTAATCAGTGCTTATGTTTGCTTGTCAGGTTAGGGAATTAATAGGCAAAGTTTCTCCTAGTCACATGGGTAAACCTCTTCTGAAAGCTAAACTGACTGAGAAACAATGGCAGTCCATTCAGTCAATTTCTGAAGCTCTGCAGCAAGAATATGGACTGAGGAGAGAGATGCTTCTCACTCGATTGGATGTAACCATTCAGTCTTTTAAATGGTCAGACCGGGCCAAGGTAAGGTTGAGAAGATGTATCATGAAAATTTAGCAATCATAAATGAGCGAAAATGTTCATTAGCTTGGTAGTTGGATCATAAATGAGAATTATCAAACACAAGCCAAAATACTTTAATACCATCAACTTACGGCAGAAAATCAGTGACTGCAGGCAATACCAGCTCTGCCATTTCTGAACTTGTAATAGACACCTGCCACAGTATTGACTGGAATTCAACTAAGATCCTTGAATCTGAGTCATATCTGACATCCCGTATAAGATACGAGAGGCTATCAACATCAGCCGTCACTGGCCACCCATGAATGGGGGAGGGGGGGGGGTCGACGTACCTGACATTTATAAGAGGGTCCTGGCTGAAAGTACGAAAGTATTTCAGCTTGTGTATGATAATTTTCATTTATAAAGCAATCATAGTTTTAATGTGAAGTCAAAGGCATAGGACTTTTGCATCGATGTTTTATTTGAAAAAGTGCAAATGTTCTACGATTTTGATTTTATTCAACAAAAGAGTATTTCTTAAACAGTAGTTTATAAATGTGAAATTCAGATTCTTACAATTATGTTATCATTGACTTAAACATTAATTTCAGTCAAAAGAAAATGAGGTGGCTGCTGCATATCAACCTCTTAGAAGGCATTTGTCAGCTAGAAAGGAACTTGGAATAGCAGAAATATTGGCTGCAAGAGATGGTATTCACATTTTGTTCATTGATTTAATTTATGATAACTTTTATTATGTATTTTTATCAAATGCTGAAGTATATATCATGAAACATCAAGCTAGGCTAAAGAAAATTCCGGTTTCAGTAGTTTAACACATTTCTTTTTCTTTCATTATGGAAGGTTATTCCTTTTACAACCCATTTTTACAACCCATTATTAAAAAATGGAAGAAACTGCCATTTCACATTGGTATATGTGCTTTTCAGATTTGATATCAATCCAGAAGACGAGCAGTGGTGATGCCAGGATGAAGTGTGCAATCAACAAAATCATGATGGGTTCCGTAAGTGTTCTTTTTCCAACTAGTTACTGTGTAGTTGCTGTATGTTTACTTTTATGATGTATCATTTCAGGCCCGTAGCCAGAAATTTCAAAAGGGGGGTTCTTTTTCTGAAAAAGTGGACCTTGTACCATGAAACTTCCATGTACCTTAATTAAATTTCACCCAGAGGGGACCTTTTCCCTGCAAAAAGGGGGGTTCTTTCGAACCCCCCTAACCCCCCCTGGCTACAGGCCTGCATTTCCTCGGTTGTGATAATCAACTGTCATAGATTTCAATATCTCTAAAGGCATGCTCTGAATCTATAATGTATGTTTTAACATAGATTATAGATTATAAACATGTATGTTTAAAAACACTTTTGTATATGTTTTATTCTACCGCCATAAAGTCTCTCTACAAACAAGCCTCCTTTTACTGGAGAGCATTTTCTAACTATAGTTTGACACTAATTATAATTTCTTTCTTTTTTTTTTAGGTAGTAATTAAGAAATAAACTAATGAAAACAATAATGAGCCTGTTGTCCTTGATATTTGAATGATAAAGCATGAACGCCTGTAAAGTTAATTATCTTTACAAGTTAACTTAAGTTTCTCCTACTGCTTGTAGAATGTATCTCTTTTCAATTTTCTTGTATTTACTGTCAAATATGACGATATACGCGCTCACTGTCTGTCCCTCCTGTCTCTCATAGTCTTCAAATGTTTCAAACTTTTATAATGAATCAGCGAGGTCATCTTTCACTAAGTGAGTGTCAAGAAATGTCAGCAACATTTGAAACACATCGTCCTGCTTTAGGTCATCAAGTGTCAACTGATTAAATACCTTTTCTCGGATGTTTTTGTGCTTTTCTGGCAAGCTCAGGGCTACTGCTACACCTCTTTTTGCTTTAGCCAACTCTGTAATGCTGTCCCACACTTCTAATTCCTGCTTGTTTAACTCGTATGTTTTCTACTCAGAGAAAATGGGAATATTAACTCTTGTCGCCATGCTTGTAGTCACAATTGGTTTTTAACCTAGCTCTGCTACTACTTGTTAAACGCTGTAATATGTCTGAGCATGCTTTATTCTACTGCCATAAAGTTTCTACAAACGAGCCACCTTTTACCGGAGAGAATTTTTTTACTATAGTTTAACATGTACCAGGTATCTTGAACCTAAATATTGAGGTCACTGACGGATAGGTTAAAATGGGATTTGAATTGCAAGAAAAAGGATCAGTTTTAAACTCAAGTTTTTGTTACTATGATATATCAGGATTCCTTGTAAAATGATTGACTGTTAAGTTTTTCTGTTATTTTCTCTGGTAGGTGCCAGACAGAGGTGGTCGTGCTTGGGAGCTGCAGCCCCCACCACCAGACATGCCATTTTTTCAAAAGAGACAAGAAGCTCCCAGAGGACAGAGACCACAAAGTAAGCACATACTTGAGAAGAAAATTACGAAGTGAAAATTCCCATTAATGTTTGCTTTTGATAAAATCCACTGGGCATAATTGTCTGGACTGAATTTAAATCTTTTCCTCTGTAAAATAGGATATTATAATTCTGAACCAAATAAACATGTTTCATTGCAATTTTCCTGTGTTTTCTTTGCATTTTAGCTGCAGGTGGGCGTGGTGGCCGAGGTGGGCGTGTCCAAGGAGGATGGTCAGGTGATCGGCCTCAAAGTGGTGGTAACTGGGGCAGAGGTGGAGGCGGATATCGAGGAGGGCGTGGTGGCAGGGGAAGAGGAGGATACTGACTGTTTAACTGTCAAAATACTGTGATTGTAAACAGCCTTTAGCCCAATTTATACTGTTATGTTTTGGAAGACATAAGCTGTACGTTTCATGCCATACCTCTACAGCAGGGTAAACATTTGTTGATTAAGTGAAAATTTTAAGTTTTTACTTTGTTTAGAAGACAAATGAATTGTGTAGCTTTGTGCTGCAACCTGTCTTTACAACAGCTTCAAGTTATTTCTTTGTTTTATTTTCATGCATTTCATGTCTACTTTCAAAATGATATACAGATTTGTATACCTCTTATGCATTTCATATTATGAGCCAGTCAGCTTTGTATGTGTCAAGCATACTTTTTGCAACTACTTCATTGCCTCAGGAAGTGTTTTTAAGTGAAACACTCGTTTTCAAAGCAGTTTGGGAATATGAGAATGAAATAAAAATGCCTAAGCTTGAAACTGCATATCTCTTAATGTTTTATAATACAAAACCCCCTTAATTTGTGGCAAAAACTCATTTCACCTTTATTTAGGCAACAGATATTTTTTTTAGAAATATAAAATGATTGAGGTTCTATGGAACCATTTGTGGAATTTGGAGAGAATTTTTAGAAGACTTGTGAACCATAAGATAAAATTTTTAGAAGACTTATGAACCTTAACTTAGTTCAGTGTTTTGTAACAGTATTAAAACAATTGTAATTGCATTGCCAAATTTTAGAAGGAAATCTCAATACCAAGTACTTCTATTGTAGGGTTTTATTGTTAATGAGATCTTGGTGGCAATATTGTTTAACCTTGAAGTCCTGTGTTTCCTCCAGGAAACTATGCCATGTAATTCCATTTCACTTTCCACCATTTAACTAGCACAAATCATGCATTAGCATACTTATTTTGTAATTCCTGGTATGTACTCTGTCTATTCACTCCTTCCACACCCATGTAATCTATATCCATTCATTATGAGACCACAACATTGGTTCTTGATTCTATTCTGCTGGATGATTAAAAACTCAGCTTTTAACTTTTGTACCTTGTACCACAAGGGTTGTAACACTAAGACGGACTATTCCCAGGGGATTTGCAATACAAATCTACAGTAACCATGAAGTTTCACCTGAAGCCTTCTTTAAAAGCAACATTTTAAAACTAATAATTTAAAGATTTTATGTATGCAGCAGGGGAGGGGTATTCTGACACTTTGCTTAATTTTTTCTATATTGAAACAATGTACATAACAGTGGAAAAAAATAAGAAAAAATGTATCACAGATTTGAATTTCATTATAAATGAATTCTTTGCTTGATCATACATTGTTATGATTTTGCAAGATTAAGTACAATATATTAAGTCCTGGTCCTGTGAGACATCAGGGTCTAGACATCAATGACTAGTAGAAACTTAACAGAATTTTACTGTCACAGTTTGTTTTTTTCTGGCATCTGGCTTGGGTCTAGTGGTTAACATTGCAAACTGTCACTGTTTTCCTGATCCACTGAGAGTCACTGTTTACAGTTTTAAAAAATCAAATTGAATTGTCATCATTATACTCCTACTAAGTCACCAGGGATATATGCAGTCAAATTATGTGCAGTATGACATCCAAAAGCTGGTAGTGACATATTCCATACACTAAAACATTTTAAAATAATTTAATTGGCAAATCAACAGCAGGAATTTCACTCATCTGCACTAAAATGACAGATAAAAGTCATTCAGGTCTCCCAATTTTCTACTCTCTCCTCTACTGGAATAACACCCCAGTTTGGTGACTGCTGATCTGTGACTAGCCAATTGAAATCATCAACATCATCCCAATTATTGATGCTCTTATCTAAACCAGACATTCTGTAATGCTCGTCAATGCCATTATAGTACCAATTATAAGGAGCAAAAACGACCCTGGAACAATCTTCAATGATGGCTTTGCTAGTAACATGTATGTAGAAGCTAGTATCAGTGGTGGAGTGGATACGGAGCTGTTGACATGGCAACACAAATGTGCAGTTGGTGCAATTATCAATGAAGATGGATGCCGATACAGGGCCACTGAAAACCTTACAGTTAGTAAGTTTATCAATGTGGATAGCACTTGGTGAGCCATGTAGTTTGACGACACAATCTGTCAGTCTCATGATGGCAACATCCTTCTGATTTATTGACTTTTCTCCAAGAGACAACGATTGACCACTGAGGTCCATAAAGCCACAGTCATTTGCCTGTACACTAACTTTACTTGTGGTAGCGGAATCAACAGCATCGCCATTCTGGGTGCCCTTCTTCTCAATTTTTTCTGATTTTTTCTTGGATTTGAAAGCGAATTTTTTCTTTGGGATTTTTTCGTCACGTTTCTCGTTGATCGCGTCTGTCAGCCGGTTAACAACATCTTGCGATGATCTGATTTCATACTTTGGTAAAAATAATGTGGAGTCAGACACAAACTTCTGCAAGGATTGAACTGCAACCACTAGGGCATCAAAGTGATCAGTCAATTCTGATTTACCGGTGATATCATCACTTCTCATTAGATCAGCTTCTATTTTGGCTTTCGCGGCGTTGAAATTTTCGTTGAAAAACACAGTGTTTTCTGTGTCAGACGTTATCTTTTCCTTGTCTTCCTTCTTTTTTTGGAGATCCTGAAGACGTTCTTCATCTCTGCGTTGCAGTCTGTCTGTAACCAAATTTCTTTTCTCGTTTAGATCGGCGAAATTTTGTCCCACGTCTTCAACGGCTATTTCGCAAGCCATGTTTGACTTGACAACAGGAAGTTACTGATGCACATGCTCTGAACAGGAATAGTTAGCAAAAAGAACATAGGCGGCGGGATTATCCAATAGGTGACACCAAGGTACTCCGTTTTACCCGAACATTTGATGATATTTGGGTTTTTTTCTCCAAAATAGCTAATGCTGAACGTTGTTGTCAACTAGACAAAATATTTCTTTAAATAATGGAATGGATAAGAAAACAGTACTAGTGTCCTGACCAGATCTACTTAAATCATAAAATCGTACAATCCAATCGTGCTAGCTGGTACCTGCATTAGAGTTTATTTCGGATAACCTGCCTTTGGACAACCCTGGAAAGCTTATGAAGAGGTTAATTCAATGACATATTCCAAAGAGCTACAGCAAAGCAACATCATGACTTGTTGCCACGTGGTCGTCATATTTTTTCTGATGATATCCAGAAGTTTGGCTTCTCCCAATATTTTACTTTTCGTAGCAGACGACATGGGTTATGGCGATCTGTCTATTTATGGACACCCTACACAAGAAATGGGCCCCATAGATCAACTCGCCTTGCAAGGATTAAAGCTTACCAGTTGGTATGCAGCGCACACATTCTGCTCTCCGAGTAGAGCCGCTATGCTAACTGGTGAGGGTGTTACTGTCACTGGAAAATTTGTTGAATTAATTTAATTAATTGGGTACGTACTGATAAAATTTAGTCCCAAAATATTACACGTCCCTATACTCCCGTTAGCGATAGGTACATAAAGGAAAAACTGAAAAAACGTCTTTTGAGATCCAAATACCGATAGATCCTTTACAGGCATGCTTTTGCCCAAAATGGTTGGTATACTACTCAGTACATTAAATGCACTTCTTTAAAACAACAGTAGGCCTACACATATTAATCCTTTCAGCAATTTATTATTCTACTAGATCGTTTTCACACAATACTCAGTGAAAGAACATAAAAAGAACATAAAAATGTGTTTTATATTTCACAACGCTTACTATTCTAGCGTCAGAACACTGTTTAAAGCATTCTCAAAATGTAACATTTGCACACTTAAAATGTGTTCTGTTTCAAGTTACGTCGCGTTCCCGAACTTTAGAGTGTGGTAGACGTGTAGACGGAAACGTATATGTATGTCTTGTTTGAACACCTAATAAATATATAAATACATAAATAAATGAATAAATAATAAATATCAGGTTGTAATTAAGTCACATCACTAAGTGGATCAGTATTCGCAGCCAGACTATCACTCGAAAGCCTATCTCAAGTTGAATATCGGCCTTTTAGCCGATTACGATGTCAGATAGATGGATCTAGCGGTACCTGGATCTAAAGATACGTGGGTTTATAGGAATCGGTTGGTGGATCTATTGGAACGTAAATTTAACGAGACGTAAATCTATTGAGACGTATATGTATAGAGACGTATCTATCAGGACGAATATTATATTGGGACGTTTATCTATATGGTGGACCCCAATTAATTAACTTGAAATTTGTGTAAAAAGTTGCCTGAATCTGTAATTCCAAAATATAAGTTGAATTTTATAACAAAAGTGGTAAAGCATTTTATCGATATTCAATTTAACCAATTAATGTCGAATTACAGGTATGATTGTGGATTAGGATGAGATAATGAGTCAGTGTGTGAACTCGGCTGCCATCCATCTTTCATGATATTTTTTTACTCATAATAACTCTTGACTGAGACAGTGGTGCAGTGATTTACTAGTACACTGAAGGTCATTGCAAAGCAACTACATGTACTTTGTATAACTGACTACATTGTATAAGGGCTTCCTTTCAAAACTTGGCATGTATTAATTATCACACATTTATAGAATTTTTTAAGGGCTTCATTATTTTATTTTGTACAGGTCGTCTTCCAGTGAGGTACAATTTTGTTGGTGGCTACACTGTCCTGATACATAAACATTATCTTGGTTTGCCCCTTGAAGAGTACACTATTGCTGAAGCCTTGAGAGACCAAGGTTATGCTACTGGTATTGTGGGGAAATGGCACCTAGGTGAGATATATTCAAATATACTGTACATTGTTACATATTAGAAGAGAGAAACTGCTGGTAACATGAGTAATGTATGTATTTTAATTTATATTTAAATTTTGATGTGGGCTTCTGCTTCTTGAATAGTTTTCTGCTGGTACATCTTGATTACATCACATTACATCCAAGTCTGAAAAGTATGTTATATTTGACAGTGCAACCACAACTTCCATTTTGTAGTTTTATATTTAAGCCAGGTAGAATTGATCAAGTAGTACATGTAAATGAGAGTGACTGGCCTTAATTTTGATCGATGAAATCAGAACTTAATCCACATGTACATATTTTTTTCTTTTCAAATGGAAAAATATGCTTTGGGTATTGGTTTGGTAAATAGGAAAAAATTACACTTGAATCCTGAAAAAAACTGAAATTTGTTGCTTTTATGTGTTCAAATCACTCACACTGTGGATTTTGACATTTTCACCCTCTAAATAAAAATTGAAAAAAAAACTGCTATATGCTCATTAAACATCCTGTGTTTAAAAACAAAAACAATTTTTTTTAGGCACCCCTAGGCCTGTTTACTGACTGCAGTATGTCACTGCTCTTTACTCAACTTATCAATGTTTTCTGGCCTTAAGGGACTATATGCAGGATTTTGGGACAAAGGATTTACACAAAATGAAGAAAAAGAAACTTCATGAAAAATTAGTGATATCTTCTTTAAAATGCATAGTTGCTACATGTTGTACTTGCCTAGCATGAGTTCAGTTACAGACTTAAAAATACAGGTATATATTAGAGCTCTCCACTTCCCTTATCATATCTCACCTTAAAGCAAACAAAAATCCCACCGTCCAAATTAATATTAATCAGATAACTTCCAATCAGTGTTAGCTGTGCATTTAATATTTATATAGAATTTTTTTTCAAATATATGCTACTTATTATTTGTATTGATTGCCAGGCCCATAGCCAGTGGGGGTTCGATGGGCTTGAAAGAACAGTCCTTTTTGTCAGGAAAAGGTCCATTCTGGGTAAAATTTTATCTAGATACACAAAGGTTTCATTGTATAAGGTCCACTTTTTCAGAAAAAGAACCCTCCTTTTCAAATTGCTGGCTACAGGCCTGAGTGCATTATCTATTTTACAGTATGGCATGTCTGTTTATTTTTCCATTTTATTTGTCAAAGTTTAAAAATTATATACAGTACTGCATGTATTATTAGTGTTCTTTATTATATTTGGTTTACTTAAATGGCACTGTGCTGATAGGTGTGAATGCGCACACGGATACAGATGGAAGCTTCTTGCCTCATAATCAAGGGTTTTCCCATCCTGCCACCATACTGCCATATACACTGTTTTATGATTGTGACACAACTGGGGTGAGTTTATTTGAAAGCAGAAAGATGTTTCAAGTTTAAGGTGGAATTTTATTTCAAGATTAAATGAGAGTAAACAGTGTATTTTAATAAAACTTGTGAAAGAGAAAAGTGAAAGAGCCCTTATTTTATGGAATGCTAAAGATAATGTTTTTGTTATGCTATATTCAAAATCACTGATCACTTTCAGCAAATCCCTCAATAGTTTGATGAAAAAATATTTAATAAATGATGAGATGCTCAAGCAGTATGATGTGCTGTTGCTTGTAGAGTTTTTTCCGTTTTCTACTATTACTACTACTGTGTACAATAGTTTAAGTCAAATGAAAAGAAAACTATCATTCATTTACACCTATTAAATGTTACACTGTGTGATGTGTTAGATGTAACATCAGAGAATATAGAATCCTTGCATGTATGTATAATACTTTCATTTTTCTGTTTTCATTATGCTTGATTTCACATTGTATTTCAATGCAACATTAAAAATGATAATTTTTGCCATTTTGGCATGGGCAGGTGCATGATATGTTGGCATTCATGTACAGCTAATATAAAGGTTAATATTTGTTATAGTGAACTTTCACTTTCAGGTTCACCGTCACCAACAGAACCGAAACCGCTGCATGATTTACAGGAATAGTACTATTGTCCAGCAACCAATTAAACAGGGGAAGTTGACTGCAACTCTTGTGGAAGATGCCAAAGCCTTCTTGTATGATCATAAAGATGAGCCATTTTTCTTCCTTTTCTCCTTCCCCCAGGTCCACACCCCTATGTTTAATGATGTGAGGTTTAATAAATCATCAAAAAGAGGTAATTCTTACCTACACATTTTGTGTTTCGCATTTTCCTACAACAGCAAACTGTGCTAAAATTGTTGGATATTTTGTCAGATTAAGCATTCATGATTTCATTTAAAAGCAATCTTCTGGAATTTTTTTTCATTCTTTTTTCATTACCTGTTCTCAGTACCTACCTGTTATGAGTTTTTGAAGTTTCACGTGTGAGGAACCGACTTAGAATTTGAGTTGCATTGGACCACAATGGGATTTCTGATTTTGATTATGTGATAGCATGGCTTATAGTTACTTGGGCTATTAAAAAGGAAATGACACTTGTTTTTGCAAAGAACCATTTTATTTATGTTTAACAAGTATGCCAAAATGATAC